CTGAAGTACGGGTTTCTTGAAAAGTTTTATGAGATAGGGCGTTTTCGAACTGGCTGCCGAGATAGGTCGATCTTCTACTCATATAACTATAAGCCCAAGGGAGTGTTTATAATGGCAGTTTGAAGTTGACTTAACGCCCCTATTGCCGCGCCAAAGGGAATACTCAACACATGGATAGTGATTTAACNACTATAAGCCCAAGAGAGTGTTTATAATGGCAGTTTGAAGTTGACTTAACGACCCTATTGCCGCGCCAAAGGGAATACTCAACACATGGATAGTGATTTAACTACTGCGCCCAGGACTTTGACGCCGAATATTGTTATTGTTTCCTTTTGTCATCTACTGAAGAGGTCATAATAACGACCGTGACATTATCATCTACACATATTGGAAATATGTTGGGTGTATCGGAATTGATTCTGGACTAAAAAGTGTTTGACTTTCTACAACAACCAAAACGGAGTCAGGCCAGATTAACTTGTACTAATATCATTCTTAGGACGTGAGTTGACTAAGGTGTTAGATTGCTTCTAGGTGAAGGTTTGTCTATAGTCCTTGAGGCGCCTCAGCTTCCTTTAATTTTCAGCNGCGTTCTTCAATCAAATACTGAAGTACGGGTTTCTTGAAAAGTTTTATGAGATAGGGCGTTTTCGAACTGGCTGCCGAGATNACGTTCTTCAATCAAATACTGAAGTACGGATTTCTTGAAAAGTTTTCTGAGATAGGGCGTTTTCGAACTGGCTGCCGAGATAGGTCGATCTTCCACTCATATAACTATAAGCCCAAGAGAGTGTTTATAATGGCAGTTTGAAGTTGACTTAACGACCCTATTGCCGCGCCAAAGGGAATACTCAACACATGGATAGTGATTTAACTACTGCGCCCAGGACTTTGACGCCGAATATTGTTATTGTTTCCTTTTGTCATCTACTGAAGAGGTCATAATAACGACCGTGACATTATCATCTACACATATTGGAAATATGTTGGGTGTATCGGAATTGATTCTGGACTAAAAAGTGTTTGACTTTCTACAACAACCAAAACGGAGTCAGGCCAGATTAACTTGTACTAATATCATTCTTAGGACGTGAGTTGACTAAGGTGTTAGATTGCTTCTAGGTGAAGGTTTGTCTATAGTCCTTGAGGCGCCTCAGCTTCCTTTAATTTTCAGCTGAGGAGATGCGTGCGGTAGAAACCCTGTAAGTGTTGCTTGTTGAGAGAAATTTTAGTCCATCAACTGGGAACGTAAGAACTTCACTATCTAGTTGGTATTCCAATGACATCATAACGCATTCCGTGGCGTAACTATTGGCGGCGTAATTTGTTGATTGCGACACACTAGTTCCCAGCGACCATTGGTCAATCGGCTTCTATAGTGTCTTTGCTCCAATTGCTGTCAGTGCGGAACCGGTCTTTACTTTGTTGGCGATAGCGTTTAAGTTCGCGGAGAAGCAGAGCAAGCTGTCAAACGTAACGCGCCAAATTTTGCACTAGCTTACAGTCCAGTTTCTTCTTCGTTCAGGTTGCAAATAGAGTCGTCATACATTTATTAGGGAAGGCATTATTTTTAATTCTGTGAAGAATCCGGAAATCATCAATGTCATTTCACTAAGACGAAATCAGAAATAATCGGGGTATGAGATCAAGCACTCGCTCTCTGGCCGAGAAAAGAGTTTTGCTTTCATTTAGAGGAAACCATTTTGCGGAACCACCTCATAAATTTGCCTCAGTTTTTAAGTGCGAGCTCGAAAAGAAACAGATTATTGTCCAGCATTCAGATATCCCAAATTTTAGCTGAGGTGAGGGGGAAGACCTTTTGTGCCTTTATTACTGACCCTTCGAGCAGGACAAGTGCTCTTTAGTGTTGTGCTGAGTTGTCGGTAGCAAATACTCGTTACCCAATACTTTGAAGAGATTTCGGTACCCAATACTTCCTTTTCGGTACCGAAACCGATTTTATGCATTAAACCATCGTCAGTATATACATATTTTTCAAGTTNAAGATTTCGGTACCCAATACTTCCTTTTCGGTACCCGATACCGATTTTATGCATTAAACCATCGTCAGTATATACATATTTTTCAAGTTTAAAAAAAATTTGTTTCATTGCTATTTTATGTGATATCGGATAAAATTTGAACTTAGCGCAACAGTTAAATACTATTTTACCTGTTATACATTAGTAGATCCAAGGATAAAAAATGGTTTAACGGATGAAGAAGCTTTTGAGGCCTTCAAAGATAATATCGTTCGATTCATGTAGAACAAAAATTCTTTAAACAAAGACGGTTTCTCTGCATTATGGCGACGGACCGACATAATGCCATCTCTAAACTGGCGCATACAGCGATAAGGAACTGTCCAAAATCCTCATGCCTATACTATTTTTATGTAGCATCCCACAATGACGCGACGTTAGCGCTAAGCAAAATGAAGTTAGATGCAGAAGATGGAAGGGTAGGGAGAGGACAAAAAGCGAAAGAGAAAACGAGAATAAAAATTAGAAGAAACAAGAAAACGTCAAAAATTACTACGCGTTGATTTGGTTTTAAGTAGCACGCGCTGGCACTCGTTGGCATTGGAAAACGCATCGCTTGGCGCTCCAATTTAGGGACGGCATATACATACCTATATAGACTTTTCTGTTGAAAAAGTATTAAAAGCTCTATTACGTACATTCGGCTTTTGATAAGTGAGTCTCCCCTGAACCGCTTTTTACATATTTTTGGTATATGTGTCCATTTAAAATAGCGACTCAGCACATCACTACTGCTATTAACATTAGTTTCGAGACTCGATCTCGGCTCACGTCGACTAAAAAATTCATAGATGGCTTAAACTCAGTGGTTACAAAAAATGTATTTTTAATAATAACGTTCTCTGGCGTAGTAAGAGCCGCGTTTTTAATACATAAGCCCATATTGGGCTCAGATGATTTCCCTTTACTACCGAAGAGAGATATCAGACTATATGGCACCACAATTGTATCCCCATGTCCAAAACCTGTGCGAACTCTTAGGTAGAATCATTACAGGGTTCCGAAACGTGTTTTTTCCCGCTGGCCTTGGTGGTGATTGCGCATAGCAACATGGATACTTTTGGTTGATTAGTTGGTTTTAGTGCTTCCTAGTAGTTACCTTGGATACAATTAGCTTATTTNTGGTTGATTGGTTGGTTTTAGTGCTTCCTAGTAGTTACCTTGGATACAATTAGCTTATTTTGCCTTCAATTGGATAAATTTTTTGTAAGACGTGAATTTTATCTATGCCCTGCTGTCTTTTGCTTAATATTCGTAAGGCCTGATAATTCACATTGGAGATGGTGGACCCATCTTCTAGCTGGCAGCTTGTATGTTTACCTGAGCGTCTGTGACCAAAAGTATTTGAGATACAAATTTCATAAAAGGAGCAAGTACGTCTTCTTCCCTGGGTGGGCTAGGTGCAAAGTTGAGTAGAAAACGAATCTTTTAATGAAAAGTCCAAAATAAGTCGAAAACTTTTGATTGTTTTTGATTATTGACTAAGGAATTGCCTTTTCTTAAAATTTCATATCTTTCACTTAAATTTATTTGAACAAATCGAGTAGGTAAGAGATCTGAGATTTTAGGAAAAAGCTTTCCCTTAGTTTTTATGCATACGGTCCATTATAAGTAGTCAGTGAGGTAATCTACTTCATTAAAGAACCGAATATTTTCAAGAAAATAGGAAACTTAGATATTTTAAAAATTGTTTGGCTACTCTTAATTCTATGTACCAATGATCCTTCCTTTACAAACACAAAATATATTAAAAGGAATCACAGCCAAATTCATTCATTATTTTTTGAGTTAACGCAAAACGAAAATGAGGCTTGCATTTACAATGTATATGCATGTATAAACGTATCTATGTATGTATGTATGTATGTATGTGGTAGACTAATTTTTGCTACAGCTTTTTTGTAATTCTAAATTTTAGTTATACAGTTTTTATCTTAAATTTTTGTATGCATAATTTTTATTTCATTTTGTTTTCTGTTTTCTTTTTATTTCGTTGCATTTTCAACAAAATGACGTTGACGGCCACCACAACAACTACAACAATCACTACAATCAACCTCAATACCAACAACTTGCCTTACATTACATTGATTGCATTGCATTAAAATCATCATCTTTACTGTTATTGCATTTCATTCAACTTCATCTCGCGAAAATCCCATTCATCCTTTCATGCACTCATCAACATGCAACAACATGCAACAACAACACAATCAACTACCACCGGCAGTTTCAGGACCATTGCCATGAAACACGTCAGCGCAGCCTGTCGGTTGGCAGCGAAGCTTGCTGGTATAATCGACATATACAACAACAAGCACAGCATCAAGCACAGCAACAGCAGCAGCCAGTAAAATTGGAACAGCCGCAACAGCAACAGCCACAGCAGCATCAGCAATTAGGTGACGTTATCGATGGCGTTCAACTACGTAATCCGCGCAAGAATGCCACGACTGTCTCCTCCGCCTCAACAATTTTGGCGCCACGGCAACGCAACTCTGCTGAATGCTGGAAGACCGCATTGAATCGCAACGACTTGATGAGCATTATACGGGAGAGCATGGAGAAGAATCGTTTGTGTTTTCAGATGAGCGGGTAAGCGCTGGGTTCTAAGGGGGGGGGGGGGGGNCGCTCAACACCGTCAGCAAAAAAAATTATCAAAATTCAACGGAATTTTTTACCAACTTAAGACTTGCACCAAAATTTGGTGGACTATATATAGCTCGATTTTTTTTCCGAAAAGCCCAAGGCAATCCCGATGTATGCCGAAAAAGAAACACGATAAAAAGCCTCAAGAACTTCGAAAGGCCTCCAAAATAAGCCAAAATTTCGATATAACTCGAAAACTAATTCAGAAAAAAAGGAGGCCCAAAAAAATCTTAACAGTCCCGAAAAAGTGCCACACTGAAAAATACCGAAAAGTGACGAGATAATCCAGACATGTCCTGAAAAAGGAAACTCGAAAATCTAGCGAGGTCTGAGAATATCACAGGACCCCGAAGAAAAGCAAAAAGTCCCGAAATTTCTCGAAAACTAAATCAGTAAAAAACTATGAAAAGTGCCCAAAAAACGATTTTTGGCGAAAGCAGGCAGGGGAAATCCCGAAAAACACAGAAAATGTAGCGGAAAAAACAGGAAAAATGCCGAAAAATCTAAAGCTAATCTCGAAAAATTTCGTAAAACTCTCTAAAGGTCCCGAAAAAATTCTCGAAAATAAGTGAATCCCAAAAAATCCCATTTTTTCCGAAAGGTGAAAAAAACATTGAATCTAGAAAAGTCCCGAAGAACTCTAAGTGCTCCCGAAATGTCCGGAAAAACGTCCCGAACGAGAATCCCAAATAGTCAAAACAAAATCCTAAAGCGAATAATCTAGAAAAGTGCCGAAAAAATCTCGAAAAGTCTCAAAAAAAAAGATGTACAAAAAATCTCAATTGAAGCCGAAAAATTTAACACGGTTTTTAATTAAGTATCAGAAAACTCTAAAAATTCGACCTTTTATAACATATATACTATGTATACCTAGAAAAAAATATCGAAAGAAAACAAGAAAATCCTAAAAGATCACAAAAGCTTCCGAAAGGTAAGCTACGTAGAATCTAGAAAAGTAAGGAAAATGGAGAAGAATCTAGAAAATTCTCAAAAAATTTCGAAAAGCCGCAAAAAGTCCTAAAAGTGCAAAAACAATATCAAAAGTCGCAAATAATTTCGAAATGATCCGAAAATATACAGAGAGATCTCAAAAAAATCTCAAGAGATCCCGAAAAATTGAACACATTTTTTTTTAGTTCAGAATTAGAAATTATATAAAATTTTTTTTATCACATACCCAAATCCCGAAAGGCCACGGAAATTCCGGAACTGTAGCAAAAAATCCAGAAATATCCAAAGCAAATCTTAACAAAATATCGAAAAGAAAGTCAGAGAGTCCTGGAAAGTCACAAAAATTACAAAATTTCCCCAAAGGTAAAGCACATAAGTCCCGAAAAATTAAAAGAAAAAAATTGCAAAAAAGATCGAAAAGACCCGAAGAAAGCTCGAAAAGTCGCAGACAATTTCGAAAAGTTCCGTAAAAATACCGAGAGATCTCAAAAAATCTTTGGAGATCCTGAAAAATTAAACACGTTTTAACAATCAGAAAAAGTATAACATTTTTATTTATATCATACATACATACATTTGTGAGCACATATCCATTTTGCGTATAAAAATGTCATTAAATCCAGCGGCAAAT